GGGTAAATTTGAAGTACTATTGTCAACTGTAGTAATATGTAATTCGATTTTAAAAACCGAGCAATATTCTTTTAAAATATAGTTTGTGAATTCATTACCTGAATCTGCAACAATTTTTCGGGGATGGTTGTGGTGTGAAAAGTAATGTCTCAATTTATTCATTATGGTAATACAAGTTACATCGGGTACATAATAAGCCTGGGCATATTTTGTAAACAAATCGATTATGGTAAGAAATTTATTAGAATTAAATTGAAAAATGTCGATGTGAATAATTTCGAACGGACGTTTAGCTAACAAAGGTCCTGAAAAAGCAATTTTGTGGGGATGTCTTTCGTATTTTGCTTGTAGGCAAGTCTCACATTCGTTTATTATTTTGTTTATAAGTTCTTTCATTTTTGGCCAATAAAATTGTCTTTTTAGATGTTTGTATGTCTCTTCTATTCCGTTGTGATTTAATCGATGGTAGTCATTAATAATTTCGTGCTGTTTTTCGCTTTGGATAATGTCTTTAGTGTACAAATTACTTTTAACAAATTTCATTTCATTACTCTTAAAAACGTCTGCAATCAATTTAGAAAAAATGGTTTCCAGTTCTTTGTCTTTAAAGAAAACACCATATAANAAAAGTTACTATGAATTATAAATGTGACATTAATTTAACTAACTTATTTTATTAAATAGTATATAGATGTTTAATATGTAAAATTCCGTACATGAGATAGTGTATAGTACCGCTCCCATCTGCTTTCACGTCACGGAGGTAGTCTTCTATATCCTGACAGAACGAAACGGGTCTTTTTTTGCTGGAAACGGTCCATGTTGTCACCATTTCATCTGAATTTGTCCAAGTATCACTTTGGAAAATGGTGAAGGGTGTCGTGGTAGTTTGTAATGTTGTACCTTTGAAAATGATGTAGTAATACATGCTGATATTTTGAAGAGAAGAAGTCTTCTGCTGAAGGAATGGAAGATGTGGGAATTTATATGATTTGGAGGAGTGGGGTATGAGTAGGATGAGAAGAATTGGAGGAGGATGATGAGAGTGGGGGAAGCGAGGATATGCAGAGTTGTTAATATGGAAGGAAAAATGTATTCTGTAATCAGTAATGGTGCAGGCAGCATGGGATTCGTTTGTAGAACATCATGGTTCGAGAACCGTTTGTTAAGATTATTTAATGGTATAGAAGTCAGTGCGCTACCTATATTGTATCGCACAGACTTCGGAGCGGACGTATGTGAGGACGAGTGAATACAGTCATGGCGATCTGGTTTGAATATTGAGAGTAATTACCGACAGTTTTTGCCAGTCAACGGTGACAGATGCGATAATAGCGAAAGACGTATAAAGAAGGGTTATGTGCAGCATAAATATACGATGGAAAATAATTGTTCATTGGAACATATTCTGAGATGTAGTGTGTGTGACAACATTAACGAATACACGTGTACCGAAGGGAAGGTGTTGTTAAACTTACATGAAAATACAACGTTGGTGTTGTGTAGCAGTTGCTACGAAGAAGACGGTGTAGGGTGTTGTGGATTGTACCTACTAGCCACGAAAGTTATTCTTGGAACACTAGAACTACAGGTTTTCCCGTGACGTAGTTACGTTCATTACCTTGCCGGCTACCTGAACTACCCCGTGCTACAACCAAACTTACCTACAATAACAACTTTTATCTTCTATTTTTAATTCACTAATGTATTTATATTTTACTTTACTCTTGTTTTTTTATTTCCACTGTTTGGTTGTAGTTTCCCACTTAATCCCTTCCTTTTTCGCTATTTTCTTTTTTTTTTCTTGGCTTCCTTACNGACGAAGTATTTGAATTTTTAAAAATCAAAGTAGAAAACATGAAGGATCATGAAAAAGACTGCGTTATTGGGTTGGATGAAATGGCAATTACAGTCTTCAGTATATGATACTTCCACGAAGCAATATATTGGTAATATCACATTGCCCAACCATTCTGGAGTTGCTTCTAATGCACTTGTAATAATGGTATAAGGTCAAAGGGGAGGCAAACAGTTGCATATTACTTTACAGGTTTGTACCGTGTTACATTTACTTTTAATTTATCATTGAAGTTAATTTTGTTATTTAAGGAAGTGCAACAAAAGGTACAGTGTATGAAGACATTCTAATGGAAATAATTGCTAAATCTGAAGCTCTCGGACTGAAAATAGCCAGCATCACTTCAGATATGGGTAGTTCCAATATGGCCCTTTGGAAAAAATGGAACATAACAAGTGGGCGATATACAATATCAAATAACTTCATTCAGCATCCTTTGTGTAGTTCTCGTAGAATTTATATCTTGGCAGATGTTCCACATTTATTCAAAAACATAAAGAGTATGTTAATTGCCAACAAAGTTATATAGGGTAAAATCACCCATATTGAACCGATTCCCAAATTGAACCGCATTGATTTTTGGCATATGCCCGATAGGTTGCAGCTAGTTCATGTAAATATTGAAAAAAGCATCAACGGGCAGCATTAGTTCGATGGTAGCCTGCAAAACAGTACGTGCAGTGCCTTTGTACGACCAAAGAAAGTTTGACACGTGGTTGTAACTAATACTTAGTGTGTTTACCTAAGAAGATTCCACGACCCTCAATAAAGGTAGGAAATACTGATTAACTCATGAAGCAAGTATAAGGTGTAGGGCATCTCCCGCTATCAATAGAGAATTTATGCTCTTTATATATTCTCTATTATTAGGTTATGTTTTTAATTTGGAGTAAGTTGCTCAAATTGAACCGAAGTAAGTAGCTTTAATTGCACCATGGTTCAATTAAGGAAACCCTGTTCAAGGTTTTAATAAACAAAATATTACGGAATTCTTTGACTTGTTGCAAAAATTATGTGACACACACAAAATAGATGCAACAAGGATATTTAACATGGACGAGTCAGGCTTTTCAACCGTAGCCAAGAAATGTCAGAGGGTTATAGCTCTAAAAGGTGTGAGGGCAGTTGGATCCGTTTCAAGTGGTGAGCGTGGTGTAAATACCACAGCAGTGTGCTGCGTTAGTGCAGCAGGGTACTATATACCACCACTGTTAATTTTTAAGCGTAAAAGGTATACAGCAGAATTGAGTAACGATGCTCCTCTAGGAACTCCAGTTGAAATATCAGAAATTGAAATTTTTGTGAAATGGTTGCGGCATTTTATCAATATTGTTCATCCTTGCAAGGAAAGAAAAGTACTGTTGTTATTGGATGGACATACCACACACTGTAAAAATTTGGAAGCTCTGCTTCTTGCAAAAGAAAACGGTGTTGTTTTATTACAATTGCCGGGACATACAACGCACCGACTTCAGCCCCTTGATCGGTCATTTTTTAAGCCAATGGAAGTTTATTACTCCCAAGCAACAGAAACATGGCTTAGAAGCAACCCTGGACGTGCAGTAACGCAGTACCAAGTAGCTGGATTAATAAACGAAGCTTATAGTAGAGCAGCTACTGTTAAAAATGCCATTAACGGCTTCAAATCGGCAGGTGTTCGGCCAATTAACAGATACGTATTCCAAGATAGTGACTTTGTAGCTTCAAATCGTCTCACCAGAAATTTTTCGCCACGGAGCACTAAAACTAACAAAGAAAATGACGGGGAAGACAGCGAGGATGACAACGTCCCTTTGTCAATTTTGAAAGTAGCATGTCAAAGTATCATTTTCATTTTCATACTGTTCACAGAAACTGACATGTTAGACCCAACTTATTACATGCTTTCTATTAGGTTCAATTTTGGATACTATCGGTTCAAATTGAGCAACCCGTTCCCAAATTGAATCATTTGCATCTACAAATATTTTTGTTAATAATCATCTTAATAATTTTGATAACTATTTGCTTTTAGTGTTATGTGAATGAATGTGTAGTAAATATTTCTGTACAACTAGCGACTTCCATTTTAATTTCTTGGCGAGTTGTGGCAGATTTTATAAAATGTGATTCAATATGGGTGACTTTACCCTAATGCTTACACTAACTGACATCGTCAAGAGCCAATAACATCATGTGACCAGTAACAGCAACCGTTTAACAGTAACCACTTAACAGTTTACGATCGATGACGTTTCGTCACTTACCTACTCCTCTGTGCTAGAATCGGTTATCTTACCCTACTAGGCAGATTTATATTCAGCCTTAACTGCTATAGATGGAGGTCAATCTTGCAATAGTGCTGCTGATCGTTACAAAATTTCAGATGCCGATATGCAAGGAAACGGCGCGAGGGGAAATGTTCACCAGAACATAGAGGAAGATTTCGAGATACCTTGACCCAAAGTGACGCTCTGGCAAAATACATCAAAGATATCGACAGAAGAGCATTTAGGCTTACAAAAATACAACTCGGAAGACTAGTTTTTGACTAAACAGAGCAGAATAACATCACTCATAGATTCAACAAAAAATTAAAAATGGCAGGCAAGGATTGGATACAATCTTTTTTGAAAAAATACAAAATTAGTCTCCGAACTCCTGAAGCTACATCGATAGGACGCCTAATGGGTTTTAACAAAGTTGCAGTTCAGAATTTTTTTTTGATTTTAAAAGAAATTCGTCTAAAATACAACTTTGATGCAAGCCACATTTATAATGCAGATGAAAGTGGACTTTCATCTGTACCCACGAAGTTGCCAAAAATTTTGTCTCCTACTGGATCACGCCGTGTTGCCAAAATAGTTACTGCAGAGCATGGAAAAAACACCACAATTGTGTGCGCCTGTAATGCACTGGGAAATTATATTCCACATTTTTTTATTTTTAAACGAGTTCGTATGAAGGATGGACTACTGTTTGGAGCACCACCAGGATCCACAGGTAGTGCTCAACAGAATGACTGGATGTCTACCGAGATATTCGTGAAATATTTAAAACATTTCCAAAAGTATACTAACTCTACACTTGAAAGGCCAGTTCTTCTGCTAGTCGATAATCATTCGTCCCACATTTCGCTGGAAGAAACAAATTTTTGCCGAGAAAACGGAATCGTCATGGTAGGATTTCTACCTCACACCAATCACAGGTTGCAGCCTTTAGATGTGTCGTTTTTTGGACCTTTAAAAACGTTTTTCTCACAAGAATGCGATTCATTTGTTGTCATTAATAGTGGCGAAGCTGCGACTGACAAAAACATTTGCTGAATTTTTACCAAGGCCTATGTAAAAGCTGCAACGGTTGGAAACGCAATGCAAGGATTCAGAAGATGTGGAATAGAACCATTTGATCCGTATATTTTTGGCGAAGAAGACTATGCCGCAGCTGAAACTTCAGAAAGAGAATTTATTCCGCAAGAAGCTCCTCCAATAGCGGAGGCTACCGTTATTTCACAGAAAATCACCAATTCTCCAGAAGATTCGTCGGAAGATGAACTGCCTTTGAGTCAATTTGTAAAAAGTGTAAAAAAAATATTCTTGTTCCACCCTAGTAGAAGAACCACCGACCGAAAACAATATACATATACAGACTAATAACTCTGTGCTATCTAATAACAATAAGGCCAAACCAGTAGGCCCAGATGTGTTAAAAGTAAAAAGAGATATTTTTGGATCATCCTATAGTAAAGATATCCAACGCCTTGGTCTTAGTGAAATTAAAAATAAAGATATCCAGCGTCCCGGCCCCAGTGGAATTCTGAATANTTTTGTTTAACTGAAGTAAATGTAGTATTACTTAAACCAAGTAGTTTTCGTTTCAATGCCCCTAAAGTTTCTAAATCAGAATCGCTATCTGAACTTGTAGAATTGATAGGAGTTCTATCTCTATACATTTAACGTACGTATTAAAGGGATACAATGGAATTACTTAAAAAGGAATGCAAAGACTTACAGGCTAGCTGATAAAAACATCCTTGTGGTCTCCTCCAACAGGCGGGGTCGATGTCCAAGTTTGTCTATCAAATTCGGCAGGGGAAATCCTCTCGATTGAAGATGATTCTTGTAACAACAGGCACAAGCAACGCTATGATCACTATTGATATTCACGTAACACTTTATGCTCGACGTTTTCGTATCCGCAACAAAGAGTTGAAACTCACGACTTTCCGAATTATTCGCTATGAATTATTCTGTAGTTAAAGTCTCTGCGGATCCTGTTCGCAGCGCCAATTATCTTTTCAATTAATGAAAAGTTATTTTTAAAAACAATTATTTTATTAAGTAACTACAAAAGCTTAAAATTGAAGCAGGCGACTTCTCTAATCGAGAGACTAATAAGAAGTGAACAATTTCATTATTACATATTAGAAAGATGCAACACTAATACCAAAAAATGCATAATCAGTAAAATACGTTCTCACGGTAATATCTCACACTCGTTGTTTGTATATTGGTTCAAGGACATAACTCCTCCCTCCTTAGTGATAGAATCGTCCTCGATTCTCATATTACGACAACGGTGAATTCTGACCTTTGATGACGTCTTCTTTGGCTACTGATTTATTTTTTATAGAGCAACATAATTTGTACTTTGCAATTATGAAAAATATTATGACAGTTAAAATAACAAACAATATAGATATTGAAACATGCGTTAAATGGACAACTGGATGGACTTTACAATTCGGCAGTAACTGAACAGCCTCATTTTTTAACTCTTGAATATCATTTAAATGCCTTTGTTTTAAAAAGACCGTTTTAGTTAAGTTTAAATCCAATTGTTCCATTTTAGGAATTTCTACACTAAAGTTTACAAATGTATTTTCAAATATTTGGTTTCCAATAATAATTTTACATTCGTTGGCAGAGCGTATAATAACACTGTTATGAACGTTAAAATGTTTAACTTTGCTTCCACACATTTCGGTTACCGTAATTTCATTTTTGCTCACTGCTAGCACAACATTATTATCTAATTGTCTGTATAACGTATAATTATTAATCACTTGACCAAAGGAACACAAACTTAAATTATTAAAACAACACCCGTCATTCACAGGTTTGTTTCGGCACAACACTATATTCTTGATAGTTGAGCATTTTTCGTTGGTCCAAAGATTTTGAGGTCCAGCTAGGTAATATTGCGCTGGGGGTAGTAGCGTTTGGTCATTTGCATTAGGGATAGGATATATTTTATGGTACGTATACGGCAAAGGATTTAGAATAGGAATGTATAATACGTACGTGATTGTATCTTCCACAAATAAAACTCTAAATTTGGAAAATTCAATTATTTCGAATAAATAGTCAGAATTAATCATAATTAATTCATCGTTCTTGTAAATCTCTGTTAAATGATTGGTTATCTCTAAAAGCTCTGATGTTGTCAAAAGTTCCAAGTTTGTAATNTGTTTAACAGCATTTGTAAAAGATAAATCGCAGTTTTCATTAAAGAAAATACTTTCATATTTCGCACACAGTTCCATAACTTTAATTCGTTCTTCTTCATTTAAGTGGTTAATTCTTATCGAATTTAGAAGATCAGGGTCCGAATGCCGAATAAAAGGTTGACGCACTTCTACGTTAAAGACTGGCTGAACATTAATAGGATGATTAAAATTAATTTCGCACGTTCTTTCTTCCTCAAAAGGTAATAAGAAAAATCCATTTTCTGCAAAAGCTATCGATTCGGGAATTCGTATGTGTTGGTCTAATTCCGTTTCAGGTATTAAAATTTCTCCTTCATGAATATTAACGGGTACTTTAATCGTTTTGCTAATTTTTTGGGTAAAAGGCCTAAAGTTGTGATTATTTATATATTCTAAGAAAGGTATCTTTACATTACCTATTTGCAATACTTTATTAGAATAATCAATTTTCGCACCTAACTTATAGAAATCCTCGCTACCTAAAAGTGCATCGCATTGATTGTGTCACTTAACTACATGAAAATTAATGTTTGTTTTAATGCCGTATTCTTGTAACATAGGATAGCTAATATTTTTATCGTCAGTAATAGAATTATTAAGAGAAGTAACGGTAAAGAGCTTTGAAAAGAAACTATTAGAAAAATATTTTTGAGCAGGTTCGGGATTAATGATAGAATTTGATGCTCCTGAATCAATTAAAATTTTAAGGTCAAATTGTGGTACGC